AGATACTGAGCAACCTGCCTGATACGACTGATGAACAGCATGTTGAACAACAAGCCGCTACGGAAGAATTACGTGTGAATGAACAAGTTCCACGAAGGTCTGAACGACTGAGTGCAAAGCCCAGACTGAATTACAGAAATCCTGTGGTCAATTCAAGCTGCGGCGAGTGTGATGTGTGACACTGACCTCGAAATTCCTCGTACACTCTAAATGCATTGAATATGCACAGTATACGATTCGAATAAAGTTCGTGTGCTATTCTATCCGAAGTTGTTCTATTTTGGGGATTGGTATTGCGCGAATTCTGGAATCCCATTTTGAATACTATTCCAAATACTACATTTAAACATGATAGATTTTGAATGTACTACTCAGGGTTGGCAGGAAACTCACCCACGGGTTTGACATGGTTAAGTTGCTGACGCAGCGTGGTTTGGATGCGTTCAACTTGCTTGGCCACGATCGACTGAACATAATCCTGGAAGCTTTTCTCTCAATCGGTGAAAGATTATCCAACACTCTGATTTACATATAAACAGCGTAATATTTATTGTGATGTATTTAGCATGACTACGAATCACTGAATCGAGCTTGTTCGCCACTCCTTGTTCTATTTGACATCTGTAGAACTATGATACTTATTGGGTAACCTGAGCATGGACGTTCGCACTCATCCACTTCCTTTTAGAGCCCCCAGTACGTATAAGCAACCTCCGGAGCATCAGATAAGATCCGATGGTGAGCTCGCATAATTTGCATGTGTTCCGAATGGAATGTTTATCTTACACCTTCCATCAGTCAATGAGGACTGGATACTCGTGATAAAGATGACTGGGCCCGCAATGGACCATATACTCCTCAGTAATATCCACGTTTTCCCCCAAATGAACAGTGCTGACACGTAGATTTTGGTTCATGTCATCCTCGTTGACCGTGAAATTTAGGGGGAGCGGGGACAAAAACATGAGAATTTTCCTCTACACGCAATGGTGAGCATCTTACGTCAGGTCATTTTCGCCAATCCCACAGAACTATGGCATTATTTAGTGGAAGTAACCAAATGTTAACTTCAAGTTGACTGTGGATGAGGAACTCGGGTCGGAAATTGTACCAGCTTTTGATTGTTTTCTACCTCCCAAACAAGGTTTTCTATTTGTTTGTTGTGTGCATAAAGGTACTCATTCACACTGGAAGAAGAGTGACGTTTTTCTATGATTGTTGAACTTAAATAGGGGAAATATTTAGTAGAAACGATTGTTTACCTATACACACGAAACTGGCCTAATTCCGACTAGCAAACGTTTGCGGATTACCTGAGATTCTTCAGTATCTCCGAGTCACTGGCTTGTTGAATTTCACATATATCAAATTACCTAGAGATTTCGATAATGTTCACTGAGCCAATTAGGTTGTTCATGTGAAACAATTATCCTTCTAGCGCAATGCACATTGGTGGCTCGACAAGATTAACCTTTCAATGATTTCACTGAAACTCTAGTTACGCCATCGCGAAATTGAAACGGGCTGCTTCATGAATGAAAACACATTTTGGGAGTATTAATCTACAACGAAGAAACCGAGCTATCTATTTCGAGAATCTGTTGACATTGGAAATATTTCCCCTTCACTTAGGTAATGCAACGCAGTAATGGAATCGATTTACAGGCAAACAGAACTCGAAAATCATTTGTTGTAAAAATGAATCGGTGCCTAGGGTTACCCTCTTCAGAATTGGATACCGAGCGCAAAACTCCGATCCTTATACATACCTTGTTTGAGTCTCTGGATGTATTCTTACACCTATAAGTATATTCGATTTCATTTGGACGAATCTTCTTATGTGGGTATCATGATTCCTTCCTTTTTCAGGGATAACAGCCGGACCAACATTGACACCTGTGAAAGCATTGACTAGTTTCCGAATTATTTTCACTTTGGAACCATGTTACCAATCAAAGAACCTGACGAAGCTTATTACATGGACAGTGAGCTTATATTGAATTCCAGGTACACTTATTGCCATGTGGGCATGTGGATTTCCATCCCATCCGAACTAATTTGTGGACAAATTTCTTGTGCGGTTCACTCGACTGTACAGAGCCCCATGGAGCTTTGTTCGGAGAGTTTTAGGCTAAGTAAAGGGAACATTTTCTCGGAAAAGTGACTGTTATTTTGCACTCAACATATTACAGGATATGTGGAAAGAACCCACGAGCAGGATGAGATACTGAACCCGGTCTACCTAGTCGCAAGATGGTATGAGTTCTGGAAGCGATTAGGACAAAACATGAATAAATGCCATATGCCGACAACATATTTTCTATCATCCCCAGGAAAAAAACAATATAATCCATATTGCTCAACCGCTCGACAGTGCACACCGGCCTATACGTTTCACCATGGAAACATGGATGGATAATAAATTAGCGTTTCTTGACAGTCGATAGACTGCTTGAACGAAGGGAAGTCAGGAAAAAAAACGTGAATTGGCTAGTACAACAGCTTCATGTCCGTTAAGCAAAGAAGAACTGTATTCCATTTCGCCTGTTCGCCGAGCATGGCAATTTGTTTGCAAACGTTTCATCGCCAACCGAGGTGACATCATCAGTGCTTGTGAAGTGGCCTGGTATTTATTGCCCCGAGTCCACGTTGGAGTATTAAACTGATCATAATAAAATATTATCACGGACAATCAATAGCTTGAAACATTCATCAGAAGAAGCCTAGATCGAAATTCTTATAGTAGACCGTTATTCAATCTGCCTGAAATCCTTATATAGTGCTATTAGTTAGAGAAATCCTCAGTGCTGCCAGTTTATCATGCACATTCACGGACTCACCAACAAGGAGAAAATCCAAAAAAGATAGTTTACCTATGCTGACCGCATCAATGGATAACGATTCCGTTACCTGTCTTCGTAACGCAACCTATATTGTCCGAACGACAAAGGATTAAAGAGCACCGTCAACACTTGCTTCGATACTGCGGAAAAGATGTCCCAGGATGCGCTATTCCCGTATACTCTTAGTGAAGCTGGAATCAAGCTTCAGTGCGGTCCGGCATCCTAGTCACTGCGGAAGCGGTTGGTATTCGCTTATTCACATTCAGTCTGTGCACCAAAGATATTAAGCCGAGTCATCCAACAACGATTGTCGCAGACTGATCTCACATATGGCGCATTACAATTTGGATGCAGAATTGCCGTCGCACAACGCACCCCATCCTACATCTCTCACACCAGCAATGAGACCTCTGGCAGACTAAAGTTCTGTCCCATTAGCATATCATTTCTTTATCTGATGCGTGCGGGCCAGTAGATGAAACAGTGAAAATAATTGTTCACCTCGGAATGTGTTCTCAAAATAGGAATCAACTGAGCGATACTGTGACAAATGATGAATATCCAGACGTATCTCGCTAATGACCCGAAACACAATCTGGGATGACCTGCTCTCTGACACAAATATGAAGCGGCTAAATCTCTTATTTGAAAGCTAAACGCAAATCCCCAGAAAAAACTGCTTTGTCATATGTATAGGCTCAATTTCAATAGATCGTTTGAGCAAAGTTCAACCGAGATTCCTCTTCTCGGAACATCCCTTCACATTCTCCGACAGTGATCATAGACGATCGTTTTCCATCTGAGTGTGTATATCACAAACAATGTAATGAAGAAAAGACCTGCAATATGCACGCCTTCAGATTTCACTAGCACTTTTCTCTGACACAGAGATCAATTGTGAGGAAACAACTTGGAGCATGAACATGGCGAGTGGTGCGTTGAGCACTTTTCAAACATTGAAAACTAGGACATCGATTCGGGACACGGCGCAAAACACATTCTTCGAAAGCGGAATTAGATAGTGAACTTCGTCGTGCAGAGTGAACATAACGTGAACTCGAAAGTTGGGAAGCACAATATAGCTGCTTCGATCTGAGTAGCATGTTCGCGTTCCACATGTGTAATCCCGGATTCGATCCTCAGTTGGGTCGACAGATTCGCACAGTTGATGAGACTCATCCAGGTCGAAATGGATTTTCAGTTTGTTTCGTTTGCTGCGTGTGCGATGAAATTCCCTTCAAAATCAATCACTACCCCCTCCGCATGTAAAATGTTGGAATTTTTTATTCACTTCTGCAATGTATTCTTCTTGAATACAGGTCATAAACTCACGGAATGGTGAGGTGGACGAGCGCCGTACAAGAATCTCTATGGAGTCTGCATTGCGGTTCACAATTGGTGACTGAGCAGACGCGTTTTGAGCACCGCGTACATCGCCCACGCACCGTTTGAGCACACTTCATGCTTTCACATCAACCAAACGCAATCACGTGACACTCGACACTGCACGTATGCGCACCTGCCCACTGACAAAAGAGGAACGAACCATTGATTCAAACTTATGATCACCTTCAACACACGTACCTGCTAGTGCAATGTCCGTTACGATGCGTTCTTAATTGGTAGATATAAGTGCTTCAATTGTTTTCCCATGTTAGTGCAGTTGAGAACGCGATTCAGGAGGCGCAACCGAACAGTCATAGGCGATGATCCGTGTTCCTTGAGGCTGCATTCAGTCTAGATCACGAAATGCATCTATTCCCAAGTGTCCCGAACGAAGTTCGACTGTGAATTTTAATAAACTATGGTAAGAACCGAATAATGTAAAAACAATTTAAATGCATTCTCACCGGTTGGCACATACTTCTTTGTAAACCCGGGTAACCACTTGAGTTTTTAAAATCATAAGACAGTGGTGACCCCCTACCACAGAGACGTTAAAAACGATAAGAAGAATCGAGAGTCGTTTGGAAACATGAAATCGTATTCAATATATCTTATAAGATGAATTGTTTGTACTCGGATAGAAGTCAGTACAATGAACTTTGTATTGCGGATGAAACAATACGAAAAATATATATAGAAAAAGAAATGTGTTTCGATATGACGAGGGGAAGAGAACGTGTGGCGAGGAGAGGTGTACAAAGTCGGGAAGATTCACATCGAGAAGTATTTTTTAATCTGATCCATCAAGTCTGCTTTCTTCGTGCCCGACGGAGTACAGTGAAGCAGATGCAAAGCTTGTCGCAGTTGTGGAACAGTCAATTTGGACAGTTTATTCTCGTCCACCACTTTACGTAGTTCATCCTCCGTTAGATTGAATTGTGTTGAAGTGATTTGTGCATCACGGCCTCGACCGGACTCGGTTGTGTCAAGGCGACATTTCTGGCAAACGAAGAAGAGGGGATGTTTACTACCTCAATGAACGCGGAAAATGAACAACACAGGTTAGCAGTGAGCAGAACATACGGAAATCATGGGGCATGTGATCATGGGATCGAGGGAACGTTTGTCTGAATAAAATCTGTTCGAACGAAACGTATTGCTCAGCCTTTTCTTTGTTGTGGCAATAAAGAGACCGAGTTGAACGGGACAGAGGAAATCCAACTTAAGGATATGTATCACTAAAAACAAAACAGTCTGATCAAACAAACAGCTCGGTTACAGCGCATCAAATGAAATTCATAGCGCCGGTTCAAACACATGCGGTCGTGACATGGAAGTCGCAGCAGTAAAACCCGTGTGAGGTCAAAGTAGCCGCTGCATGGTGTGGTGCACCCGCTAAACGGGGTCTTTAAGAACCGGCAGTTCAAAATAGTCTTGAAGTTTTCATAGGCTGCATTTATCGGAAGAAATGAAAACACCCAATATACTGTAATACACGAAAAATGTGCAGATTAAAGAAAAGTGAAGTGATCATGAACGCCCAACTGTCTGCAACAACTTTCTCGGTTTAGTGAAGTTTTCATGAAGTGGACACAGTTCCGGTCTGCAAGTAGCTTCTTCAATCGAGTTGTAACAGTTGTGGTGTCACAGTGCAACAAATGTCAAGACTGAAAATAAAGTTTATTCTAACCGAAATCGGAGAAAGTGAGATTGAGTGTGAACATGTCTTACCTCACACAGCTTACAGCAAATATGTGCTTACCTTGCATCCAACAACCTATATTGTTTACCGGGTGTGGTTAGCTCCCGTGCAGGCTGTTAGTGTAGAATGACTCTTTTAGCATTTAGCTCCGGAAGCAATAACACAGACAGCCAGTTATGGTTCATCGCAAGACAATCTCACACTTGTTCACACGGGAAAACGTTGCTCGTATGAATCAACAGCAGAACTGTCACCGGTTCGGATGATCATAATCCATCGGATCGAGGCCACGAGGTAACGTGAAACCTGGATCATCCGAGTAAGACACATCATAGTAAGCAGTATTGCCCCATGGCCAGAACACGTAAAGTATCGGCACGCATAGTTGAATTTGACCAAATCATAAAAATGTACTCATTTATGGGATAAATTAGCACAAACCTTTTCCGCGGTCAATTCGTTCAACTTGCACGCTTCTTTGAATGCATCGATCTCTTTAGCTGCGCGTCGTTTGATGGCTGCCGTGTTTGGTACTGAATGGAGTTGAGAATGACAATGGTAACGTGGTGCAATCAAATGGATAGAAAAGTGGGTAGGGGTAACCACAGAATACAACACTTAGTCAAATAATTCGTAGTGCATAATTACATACACGCGACAACTGGTTTGACAGTTGGTATGATTGTTCGTGGACTTCATTTCGGTGAAACAAACGTCTACGACGAACTTGTGAAAACGTTACTGCAATTTCAAACGGACAAGGAGAGGATGAAGGCACATGGTTAAAAACGCAAGAGGGTTGAGTCGGTTTATGCATATCCAAAATTAAATCAAATAGATAAGAGTGGAGGAATCACCTCATGTATTTTGACAGATGTACATAGGTAGCAACCACAATCATACACAGAAAAATTGTATTCACTGATTCGAAATGCCTTACAACATGTTCTGGAAAACGGTTGAAGGTAAAGTATTGCGACCTGTATGAAGAGGATTGGTTCTAATAAACAGTACACGCAAAAATATATGGAGTTGTTATTTAAATTCGAATAATCTCTCACCAAACCAGAAGACATGGTTTTCTAACAACATCATATATGCACCAAGTCATTTGTTTTTCTAATTTATTTACTGTCTAAGCAGCCCCACAGAGCATATTTAAAATAGAACAAAGAGTGGCGAATAAGCTCGTTCTCGGTTATTCGCAGTCATGCCAATAGGTCACCCGATAGAGGGAGCGGAATATCTCTGTCACAATAAAATTGTGATTTGTTTCAACTAGGTGTGAAGCCACACTGCACTAGTGAGGAGCGATTAGGTTATTCACTAGTGCAGTGTGGGTTCAAATCCAGTTGAAACGAATCACACTTTGAATGTGACCGAGACATTCCGTCCCATGTATCGAGTTCGTGGTCGATTATCAAGGCAGGTTCAATTTTTTGTGCTTCCCACAGTGGCAGTGGTGGGAATTCGTCTGCACAACTACCCTCCGTGTGCCTAAAAACAATTTGTGCAGGCGCTTGGTTCACTGCTTTCGTCTTTTCAGAGTCCGGTTAGACACAGCACAATGTATAACAATGCTTGCATTGTTATACAAACATTGATGGGGAAAACTTCACAATCCGATTGGCAAAGAGAACAAAAACACACAAAGCCATCTTTTTTACAATCATCCGGACCCCNCTCATTTTAATGCGGACGAATGATCGGATTTCATTCACAAGTTGATCAACAGTTGAGGCATCAAAGATACAAAACTCCAAAGAATACATGATCAAATCGACAGAATATATTCCATTCACTGGGTTTGCATTATTAGCTCACAATGACTCAGACTAATCGTCAACTGCGGATTGCATTCTCCCAGCTTTGAGTCTGGGAGCAACGAATAGCGATGCTCAAAAATCACTTAAACCCCAGATCAGATACACGTAGGGTTGAATTGGTCGATGATGATGCTGTCTAGCACTAAAGTCAGACTTCTGAGGGGGAACGTGAACTTTGAAGATTGATGAAGCGGGACTAACAAAAATTTACACTGCAAGACAATCAGCACGCATACATGATTTATATTAATGATGGGAATTATGAAGTCATAGGTATTGCGAAGAGAACAAGGACAAAGTAAACCATGAATCCATTTCCAGAAATGGTTTAAAAAGGATAAAATTTTGTTACAATTGTTCATAAATACAGTAACTGATCGCTAAAGGATAACTCCAGTTGCAGATAAGCATGAGTCAAAGAGATTTGACCAATTTTTTTATACGCACCTGGATGAAAGTATATCACTTTTGTAGGGCGGTTGAATTCTAACAGACGACTGGACAGCTTCATGGACATCGCAAGTCGCAGCTATCCGCGCCCACTGGTTTTTTGGTAGCAAAGTCTACGTATATCGTGATCCAGTCTGATTTTAATGGGCAATCGCCGTAGACAGAGCACGGACTACGTTAATCGTCACTGCGTGGACAGCGCCAGTTTTGGGTGGGAGACAGTGACAGCGATGCTTTGGTCAGATCGTGCTCTAGTTACGCAGTATGCATTCAAACTATTACAGTTGTCGTTGTTGTATGGGCTTGCATAGCAGCACGATAGTGAAATACCGGTTCTTGACAGCAACATTTGGGGGCTGATCCCTCCGTCTGTCTCCCAGAATGATTCTTAGACACAAGTATTACGAGAATTCCAATCATCGTCAGTCTTCAATTCTTATTGTTTCAGTTTCGCCGCGATAGAACAAGATAGGAGACGGTTATTACGGAGAACACTTGTATGTTTTATTACGTTGATTTTTTTTCCATACCATAGGTAAATATTCAGCATTGGGAACAAATTTCGAAAACTATTGACGCGCAGTCGGACTGCTCACTTAGCCTGCTCTTTGGGCAATACAGTTTCTACGGATTGGATTGGTTTGCACCTTAGTTACAAAGTATCTACCAGACATTTGTTGGATATATTCACCTATAGGTCGATCTCGGAGACCTATCGACTGATGTGGCTAACAAATTTTGTGGGTCGGACATATCCTCAACAAAGACGACAATGTCATCAGCGAATTCTAAATCAATGGGCCAGAAGTTCAGAGAGATCTGAACTCCTTGGTCATCTTCCATAGGGAGACGGATTATCCAGTCAACGGCAAGTTTGAACAACATTGGTGACAATGTCGTAGTCAAAATATGAACTCGAATGCCAATAACTCCACATAGTCAATGAGACCTCTAGCCGCCGTGTTTGCCTAGTAGAACCTCATGAAGTTGATAAGTCTAATCGACACCTTATCGGCGGGTAGTTTGTTCCACAGGGATTTACGATCTTCGGAATGGAGTCTCGCACAAACATTTACGACGGAGAAATTCACCGATTTTTGAAACTTGTGGCCACATTCTATGAGGCGAAGCAAGGTCAATATTTGGTTAACTTAATTGATACCTGAGCGGAATCCCTTACGATTTGGTTAGATCCGCGGGTATCTTACTTCAGCAAAGCAGTTCAGCACAAGTTTCCACCTTGAGTAATCTGGTGCCACTGTTATATCCGCACAGTATCTTGTAGCCTTTTTCGAGAAAGACAGCGAAACTAATGCAGTTCAGTCTGCTGGAAAGGTTCACTTTCCTAAATTGAGTAAATTACGCAGTGGATTTGAAATGAGTGGAAAGCATTTTGCGTAACGTAAAGTAATTGCAGTCTACGTCCCGAACCTCCCATCTTACAGCCACGCCAAGGAGGAGTTCTATGATAACTTCCAATCGCTTACTGATGAAGTACTCACAATGGACATACTCGTCAACGCTGAGAAGAGGAATGCTCAAAGTTTCCCTTTAGAAAAGGCCACAATGAAAATTGTATGAATGTTTGGCATGGGCCAGCGTTGAGTGTTGACAGAGTGCTTGGATTCACCGATTTATTATTTATTTATTTATCACAAACATGCAGTTTCAACATCTTAAGAACTATCACTTCACAAGATATTCCAACGATCGCCGAAACGTAAACCAACGAGATTATCTTTTCATTCATTCACGCTGATTTCATTCAGTCGAGGACAGTCGGTTCTACCACGGGGCTGAACAAGAGAACCCGAGTGGATGACCACGCGCTCGTTCGCGATGCGCAGTGCCCAATGATCAAACTTTTCTTTATCGATCTTACGGAGTATAGTAGATTAGTAATCTCACACAAAGTGCAAATGAATTTTCAACATACAAAAACGTGTCTTTTGACACAAAACAGTAACGAAGATACGGTTTGTCTGATAAAGTTGGATTCATTTTCTAGAGTCCGTCAGGTTAACACAATCATTATAGATTGGGCAAATATCACAATAGGTAAGTTGTAAATATCTACCGGTTACATTGCGACTGGAATGGGGTCACGAAGTTTCGCCTATCAACGGTCCTGATTGGTCACTCGGGTCGTTAGAACTATCCTCGTGAGGTTTGATCTATCTCCAATAGTAATCTGAGGGGGCCCTGGGTGGATCGCCATTAAGAGCTTCTGACTTCGATTCCCATGAGTGAACGGTAGAAATTTCTTACCTATGCAGTTCAACTTATTACTGGTCATCACTCACTGAATTGTGGTTGAAAGAAACGAAGTGATTTTATTAAAAGCATGCCAATTGGATACCGTTTGTCCACTTTGGAATGCTTTGCACTGAATGCTTTGTTCACTTTCAAAACGATAATCGCATCACGCCACAAAGTCCGAAACTTTAACCTTTGATCTGGTCATCTATTACTGGTCAGACCTCATCTATTCCAAATTTCCCTTTGAGGTGGGATGCGACAAACAGAATGCGGATATCGTTTGTCGATAGGATAGGAAGCGAAAGACTGGGGATAAACCCAGATAACAATCAATAAGCAATTTGTTTTTCGGACCGCGCTAACAGTGGAAATTTGTGTGCGTGTGTGACGGGCGACGAACCAAACAGGGTCCGTTTGTAATAGTGATATAATCAGTGATAGCGGCGGTAAAAATGGGACATTTCACCAATTCATAGACTCGCACGCACATATACTTACTAGTATGATCTGGAACGTCTTCGATAGCTTCTCGATTCAGTGCAAGCGCCTCGATCGCTGCATAGTGTCTTTGAAGCACGGGATTGGAAATTTGTTTTGGACTGAACGGTACCATCAACTTTCTAACCAGGGATTTGGCTGCTTCAACCTGTTCCGCGGAGGCTATCGATAAATATGACAAAAAAAGTAGACAAACGCGTTCGACAGTGATACGACTATTGACGGGGATATACGAAAGATAGGCTCCATTCAACAAAAGAAATAACACGAATAGGCCGGTCGAATTAAACAGGGACAGCTGAACCCAGACAAGTCAGCGTAATGGGATGAAGTGTCACTCTGATCCCTACAGGACAGCTTTCGCGTGACAATTATCACCCCGATTCGATCTGTGTTATCTATGCAACGATTAACTCGCTATGCAATCAGACATTCGGATTCCTCGTTTCTACGGGTAAAATTTGATCGCTTCAGACCCATTCCTGAAAGTTTAAGGGATTCATTGCATAGCAAATAGGTCATAATTAAATTGGCCCTTATTATGAACTACAATTTTGAAACACCGACAAACCAAAGTATTCAGTATTTGGCGATGAAACGACTGGGACTCAGCTGTCTAGGAAAGGACATATATGGTGCACTATTTGGGTTTCTAAGGGAAGTGACTTTTTCATCAACAAGCGCCTAAAGAGTACGAAATGATCTAAACAAAAGATATATATATTTTGCCTAGTCTTGGAGTTGGCCGAGACTATCAATACCACATCGTTAGCGTGCACCCACACGGTTATGACGGGGGGACTGGGAAAGGTATTTACGTAAACGAGCAATGTAGACAAAACCAGCAAAAATTTTAGCAAACTAAATGGTACCAGTAGAAAAAACGAATTGCATCCTACGCGGAAAGTAATGGATAAAAACGTTCGACACATTTGGTCCTCCAACGCAATCACAAAGATATTGAATGAGAATATCAACCAGTCTACCTGAAAGCATCAAACGAATGGTGTCAGAGTCTGTATCGAAAGATGAGTAGAGTGTGCGACTGCTCTAGAGTGGAAAGTCAAGGTATTTGATATAATCGAAGGCCGCATGAACTTTAGACAAGAAAGTCATTCGGTTTAACAGCATTATCCCGAAGGTTCATATTGAGTCAGTGTAATCGGTTGGAACGTTGAAGTTATTCGGGGTGGCTGTATTGTGCATAAGATTCCAGTGATCAGAAGAGATACATACAGATGAAATTTTTGTACTATCCAGGCTGCATCAGCTTGAGAAACATCCTCCTCCCAATCTAACCGTCATTGTTGAGAGTATTTTTTATACCATACGCAGAAATGACTCAGTGGACCTCAGAACTAGCCGATGATACTTATAAAAAGGATAAGCGAACACAGTTTAATAAAAATGAAAAAATAACATGGTGAAACACAAGTAGTGGAATTTGTGAAGGGAGCAAATAATTTGGTCCATCCAATGGACAAAAAGATTGTTTCAACAAGAAATAAACTCAGCTTCGTTGAGTAGTGAGTAAATCATGTCGTTCTTAACTTGGACTCGAACAAGTAGGTGACTGAAATAAAAGATTAGAAATCACCGGACCCAATCGCGACGACCCCGTCATTTAGTCAGAGGTAGAATATCATGGCTGAATTCGTCGTGTATATATAGCAAATGAAGCGTGAACTGAAAAACTACGAAGCACTGGGCAGCTGTTTCCACCTGATTGCTGTATACACGACAAATTCACCTTTGAAAATGAATCGACCACATCGCCAGCAATTACCGTTGGAGAGGGTCGATTGAAGACTGCCGTTCTTACTGGTGCAAACCTGTGGATGCGGATCAGGTCATTTTACAAGTCAAGTTCTCCTCACGCCTGACAAAAACAACCACAAGAAAGACACCGACAACGGATACCCACGATACAACGTCAGCGATTGCTGCAAATCGCTTAGCAGCTCAATCACCAGCCGAAGGACACAATGAACATTGCAAGCAAATCAAGGAACCTAGGCAATTATCGATAAAAACAACGTCGGACCCTGCCGCTAGCTCCAAACACAAACGATGGATCTCGTCGACCTCGGTTGCCCTGCGGGAAGCTCGCAGAACCCTGCCCCGGACGCCACATATGACATATGTGGATAGGAAAATGTAGAGAGATAGAGAAGGCTGCGGCTATTGTTTACGCTCGAAATCTGTTCCGTCTAAGTGGGAACTTACAAAGACTTCGCTTTCACAAATCCCATAGGGTGTTTACACCTTGATTCGGATGAAGAATCACAATATCACAGTTATTCC